AAAGGTCCATCTAGTCAAGGCTATGGTTTCTCCAGTGGTCATGTATGGATGTGAGAGTTGGACCATAAAGAAAGCTGAGCACTGAAGAATTGATGCTTTTGAACTGTGGTGTTGGAGAAGATTCTTGAGAGACCCTTGGACTGCAAGGAGATCCAACCAGTCCATCCTAAAGGAGATCAGTCCTGGGTGTTCATTGGAAAGACTGATGTTGAAGCTGAAACTCCAATACTTTGGCCACCTGATGCGAAGAACTGACTCACTGGAAAAGACCCTGATGCTGGGAAAGACTGGAGGCAGGAGGAGAAGGGGACGACAGAGGATGACATGGTTGGTTGGATGGCATCACCAACTTGATGGACATGAGTTTGAGCAAGCTCCGGGAGTTGGTGATGAGCAGGGAAGCCTGGTGTGCAGTCCATGGGGTGGCAAAGAGTCGGACACGACTGAGCGAATGAACTGAACTGAACATTTAAACTAGTTGCCAGTATATCCAAAAGTAATGAATGCTGAAATATTTTGACATCCAGGCACATTTATAAATATGATTACTCCGTATAGTTAATTTTTCATTTGACTCCACGGAGTATTCTAGTCATGTATTCCTATTCATCAAACCTCTCGAACTTCTTTTTCATTCTATTGTTCACCTGCATTAACTTGTGATTCCAAAATACCATTAATGAAGAGTGAAAACAGTAGATATCTTTCTTTTCTTTCTGATTTTAATGGTCACAAATTTCCTGTTAAGCCTGAGACGGTTTTTAGGTTGAGAAGAACATATTTTACTAAGGATATTTTCCTACTACATTTTGAGGGTTTTAAAAAAGAAATCAGTAATCAATATTGAATTTTATCACATGCCTTTTCTATAAAAATGATCGTATGATTTTTTTCTATTTATGTTTAACAAGATGATGAATATCTTCAATAAGTTTCGTACTACTGAACCCTTCTGCATTCCTACAACAATCCTCACTTGTTAGGGCATTTTGTTCTTTCAGTGCAAAATGCATATCAAAGGTCATCTCACCCCATCCTCTAAGCCTCCCCAAGAGGCATGCGCTGGCACCATGTAACCCCGCTCTCTCCGCTGCTCTCCCTCTTATGCAGTGCCTGCCAGATTTGCTGCTCCCTGAGATCATCTATCCCCCGGAATCCTCAAATACCCTTCCCCTCGTCATGTGCATCTCTGCCGACACAGCACCTCCACACAGAGGCCCTCTCTGTCTACTGTCTACTGTGTAAAACAGACAGGAATCACCTTCCTATCTTGTCACTCTATCCCTGAACCCGTTCTGTTCTTCTCTGTAGCAACCGTCACCATCTAGCATATTATATTTCACTTCTATTATTTTATATTCCATCTCACCAGTAGCATGTAAGCTCCATAGAGAGCAGGAGAGCACTGCTTTGCTCACTGCTCATTTTCTAGTACCAAGGATAAGCCTGGCACTCAGAAATTACTTAATATTTGTTGAATGAAGGAACAAACAGATGAATGAACAAATGAACACTCATTTTATAGACAAGAAAGCTGAAGCTTAAAGAGATGAAGTCAAATCATACAGTGGCAGAGCTAGGACTGAACCCAAGTCAAACTTCCAACTCCCTGCCCTTTACCCTTAAAACAAATGACAGGTGATTTTAGGCCACAGAAAATGCTCACATATCTTATGAATACTGAAGTACAATTTATGGGACTTCCCTGGCAGTCCAGTGGTTAAGACTCCATGCTTCCCATGCAGGGGGCACAGGTTTAATCTCTGGTCAGGGAACTAAGATCCTAGTTCTGCGGGCATGGCCAAAAAAATAGTAATTATAAAAATAAAGTGCAAGTTAGAGACACCATTGAGAGACAGCCCTGTACCAAATGAATTAAGTAAGCAAAAGAACTAGAAGATGGCCTCCACAGACGGGTTCTGGAGCCCAAAGGGGTAATCTCCAACCCTACACTGTCCAACAAGGTCACCTCTAGCTATGCAAGGTTACTGAAACTTGGAATGTGGCTTCTGCGACTAAGGGACTGAAAGCTTACTTCATTTTAATTAATCAAAGTCTAAAATTGATACTGATTCAGTTACTAGAACAACTTGGGTGTGAAACTACTTTTTCAACTATACATTTTATGCAACCTCAACAGAGATCAAGCATGTCTGGTGAAAAGTGGGCATTCAAATATAGAGGTGCTTTAAATATAAAATCTTCACCAGAGTTCAAAGATGGAGTATGAATAGAGAATGCAAAAGATCTCATTAATAATATGTTCATTTTAAAAATATGTATTTGGCTGCGCCGGGTCGCAGCACATGGCATCTTTTATCACAGCCTGCAGGTTCTTCAGTTGCAGCATGCGACTTCTTAGTTGCAGCCTATGGGATCTAGTTCTCTGACCAGGCATGGAACCCAGGCCCCCTGCATCAGGAACATGTAGTCTTAGCCACTGGACCACCAGGGAAGTCACCAACAGTATGTCCATACTGATTACATGTTGGAAAAACACCACTTTGGACAGATTAGGTTAAATAAAATAATTACTAAAATCTTTAAAAAAAGACAGTGGCCTCTAAAGAATTCCCTGGAAGATACAGTCATTATATTAAGGCAGCTCTCCTCTCTCAACACCTGTGAGCCGCACAGCAAGCATTCCAAGGCTCTGACCTTCATCCACACATGTCCTTGGGTAGCCAGAGGATAAAACTGGATGTTTCAAGGGCAAATGGTCATTGAACATGTGTGTACTACTGAAGCTGGCAGACGTAAGTACTAGAAGCACACTCTGCCAGGGACTAGCCATATTATGGCCAATGCAGATACCAAGAGCCTGGCTTTGAAAAATTATTTGCTCGGGACTTCCTTGGTGGTTCGGTGGCTAAAACTCCACACTTACAATGCAGGGGGCCCAGGTTCAATCCCATCAAGGAATTAGACTGCACATGCTGCAATCTAATCTAAACATCTAATCTAACGACCCTGCATGGTGATGGTGGTTTAGTCGCTAAGTTGTGTCCGCCTCTTGCAACCCCACGGACTGTAGCCCACCAGGCTCCTCTATCCATAAAATTCTCCAGTCAAGAATACTGGAGTGGGTTGCCATTTCCTTCTCCAGGGGATCTTCCCCGATGCAGGAATCAAACCCAGGTCTCCTGCATTATAGGCAGATTCTTTACCAACTAAGCTAGGAGGGAAGCTCCATGCCACAATGAAAATCAAAGATCCCAAGTACCCACAACTAAGATCCGGCACAGCTAAATAAATAAAAACTTTTTTTTCAATTAAAAAATGTATATGTACTTAAAATTGAAAAAAAGAAAGAAAAATTATTTGCTCCTTCAAAGCCTAAGACTCTCTTTTGGTTTCAACAGGGCAACCTATAATCAAATATTCTTCATAATCTTTTTCCTCTGCCATCATTGGGATACTTTCTTGAACCAACTTTAAGCTGAAAACAAAATTTCAGAAATCATTTCTGACATTAAATAGTATCTTTCTTTTTTATTTTTTTTCCAGCATTCAACCAAACCCTGTATTTTAGATCTGTGGGGCTGATCCAACATTGCAATGTGTCACATTTAATTCCATCAGTATACAGTGTAATGAACAAAGATTTGAGCTAGTGAGGCATAACTAAATGTTTTGAACCTGTGAGCTGCAAAAGCAAGGCTCATTTGTGTTATTTCTAAATAGTAAATAAAATCATTTCCAACATTCCACTATCAAATGACAGTAATTTTTCTACCAGCACACACTTGAGGAATGCCACAAAAGGACTTTTTTAACAGTTCGTTTTATTGTTGTGCATAACCTTCTAAATCTCTCTCTGCTGGCTTCTATTCAAAGATAAATGGAAGGCAGTAACATTTATGGAAAATGTATTCAACTGCTTAAAATACATCAACCAAAAGAAAAAAGATCTTAAGGCTGTATTAAGTTGGGAAATTATATCTCCTTCACTGAGTCTCTGGTTTCAATGACAGGGGACAAAACCGACAGATCCGTCAAGTTTCCTGTTCTCTCCTACACAGAACCCAGCTCTCCTATCTCAGACTCTCACCTTGGACAAGGCCAGAGTAAACACCTGTCTTTCACATTTTAACACAACGTCACTTTGTAGGCCACAAACACGAGCTCTCATACCAAGGAGGAAGCAAATTCCAGTACACGGAACAAATTCCCATTAGACCAGTCTGTTGACTGTTCCCTTGACTTTCTCGGCTGTCAAGATAATGAAGGGAAGAAAAAAGATCTTTCTGTAAAACTGTAAATTGTAACCTTATAAGTGTGCCCTTTAAGTGAATACACAGAGAAAGGTTAAATAAAACTTCACTTAAGGTTTAAAATTTGAGCTAAAAATATTATTTTCTAGCACTTGAGCAACATGTTGCAAGATTTTACTAAAATATGAGTATTAAAGTGAAGTTAACTGAGGTAAGTTCTTACATTTCATGGATCAAGGAAGAAACTTTGGAGGGATTTTTTTTTTTTTAACTAACATTTCAAAGATACCATACTCTATAAAATAAAAAAGAAAATGACAGTTGTACCAGTTTAGAAATGCCTAAAAATAGAGAAGTGAGGGAATTTAAACAGAATAACTATTTTACACTATTTGGCTTCCCTGGTGGCTCAGCTGGGAAAGCATCCACCTGCAATGCAGCAGACCTGAGTTCGAGCCCTGGGTTGGGAAGATCCCCTGGAGAAGGGAACAGCTACCCACTCCAGTATTCTGGCCTGGAGAATACCATGGATGGGGGCGCAAAGAGCGGTACATGACTGAGCGACTTTCACTTTCAGACACTGGCATTCAACTTCTTTGTTTGAGTCCCTGTGTGCTTGAGTAATTCAATGTGTAAAAACAGAGAAGTGAGGGAGTAATTATTTTAAAAGACTAAAGTCTTTAAATTTAAAAAAGAGTACTACTGAACTTCCCTGGGAGTCCGGTGGTTAGGAATCCATCTGCCAATGCGGGGCCCCTGGTCTGGGAAGACTCCACAAGTCCCAAGATGACTAAAAAGGCGGCATGCCACAGCACGGGCCTGCCCGCCCGGAGCCCGTGCTCTGCCGTGAGGAGCCCGCGCACCGCAACTCAAGAGCAGCCTGCCCCCGACTGCAGACAGCCTGCACGCAGCGACAAGACCCAGAGCGGCAGAATGGACAGTAAGTGACTCTTTAAAAAAGACTAGTACTGAGAAGAATTCACCTTAATAAAACTCAGCTTAATATAAGAAAATAATATATTCATATTGCATTTCAAATTTCACTTAGTCCTTTCTCTATGACTTCTAGGGATCTCTATAAATATTGTCCATTTACCAGTATAAAAGAAAAAGGCACTGCTATTATCATTTTCAAACACACAAGAGATTTAAGTAACAAAAAAAAGAGAGAGAAGAGATATGAAGTTTCAGGATACGTCAAAGCAGAGAAAACAGGAAGTATACTTTTTCAGCTTGGGTTTTTTAAGGCAATGAGGGTGAAACATACAATAAAAATTAAAATATATGCAATATACTTCAGGCTTAAGTAAGCAAACAGACCTGGATTTTATTGGCCAACAGTCTTGCCACACACTTGCAGGAAAAACACACTTGGTAGAATCCCAAATTCATATTCCCACATTCAAAAAAACATTTTTATATCCAGTTTTATATCAACTGCATGTTTTATAATTCTAACAAACAGACTACCATCAAGCATTACCACTCACATTTCTGTCTTTGAATCACAGAAGCAAGAAATATTGAGAAGCATGAAGTAGCTGACAAAATTCTAACTTTCATATGAAAGCTCTAACTGAAAACATTAAGACGAAGAAGTGAGACAAGTCACTACAAAAATACTGAGCAAGAGGAAAGACCCACCGTCTTCAGAGGCAGGCTCAGAAAGGAGTGTGCAGTCAACACCCCCAACACCCCAGGGCAGCCCCAGGGCACGCTGTACATGTCTCTGCCATTATCTGTTTGTGTTTTCACCCCCCTTGGCGGCTGTGGTCTCCTGCAAGGCACGGACCTGGCTTCATGTATCATCCTGGCCTATCAGCTACTGAATTCAAAACAATACACCAAGTGCTGAGTCAATTAACCTTTCTTAAATTCTCTTGACAAAAAATATTCACAGCATTTGTGTTATGCAAATTTTATCTCAATTAGAAAGGTACCGAAAGAAAGGCATGGCCTGAACACATGTTAAAAGCCAAATGGCAGGAAAAAGGCTTTTTAAAATTATTGAGGCAAAAGTATTCTGAAGTCAGATCATGAGTCACTGGACTCTAACATAAGGTGATATGTTTTACAATAAACAATAAGCCATGTAATCACATAGGTATTTATTTCCTAACTCGAAATATGTCCAGAGTCCTCAACTCTACAGACAGGTGAATACACAACCTCAAAACACCCATTAACTTCTGAGTAGTTTCTGGGACAGCTGACTGACATGCTGTCGAAACTTACTTTATTTCTTTATTTAGAGGCAAACAGATTCTATAATACTAGGTCCCACAGTAGGGAGCATGAATTTAGAGTGCTGGGGTTTTATCCTTATGGGAAAAAATACTGTAAAGTGTTTTTTAAAAGAATGATCCCAGGAGACATTCAGAGTTAAAAGGAACTTGAACTTTGGGGAAGTATGGAGGCCCGCTTTGCTCCCAGCCTCAGGTATTTGAATCTATTCTGCTTCTTCCAAAAAATGTAAGACACTACCATGAGTTGAGGAACTGGCTGGAACATGGCCCAGAGATCCTGACCACCCACCTGCCCTCATCTCCCTTAGTCTTCTCAATACCTGCATCCATTGATTCCTCTGAGTCAAAGCAACAAAAAATCCCACACAACTAAAAATGTGATCTTTGGCCTTGCACTTTGAAAGGTTAAGTCCACACTAGCCAGCATTTGAGGCAATTATCTATAATAAAGGGCTTCCCTGATAGCTCAGTTGGTAAAGAATCTGCGTGCAATGCAGGAGAAAATCATGCCCACTGTCTTCACCTCACAAATTAAAATCCTAAAGTAAAAGGGTAATGTGGCAACAGACCAAAGAAGAAAAAGAGAACTTTAGTAGAAGAATGCAGAAGGCAAAGATATTACTATTAATTACCCCATCTAATTCTATGCAGCAAAAGCAGTTCTAAAAGGAAAGTTCATAGTGATATAAGCTTACCTCAGGAAACAATCTCAAACAACTTACACTTACAGCAACTAGAGAAAGAGGAAATAAACAAAACCCAAAGTTAGCAGAAGGAAAGAAAGCATAAAGATCAGAGCAGAAATAAATGAAATAAGAGACTTTGAGAGAGAACAGCACTGAAACATGTATATGACATATGTGACACAGATGAGCAGTCCCAGGTCGAGGCATGGAATAGGGCCCTCCAAGCTGGTGCACTAGGACCACCCAGAGGGATGGGAGGGGGCGGGAGGTGGGGGGGGCAGGGGGACACATGTGCACCCATGGCTGGTTCATGCCAGTGCATGGCAAAAACCACCACAATACGGCAAAGTGATTAGCCTCCAATTAAAACAAATAAATAAATTTAAAAAAACCACAAAACAGAAAACATCAAAGAAACAAAAACCTGGTTCTTTGAAAAGAAAAAACTGATAAACCTTTAGCCAGACTCATTGAGAATAAAAGGGAGAGTGCTCAAATGAATCAAATCAAATACGAAAAAGGAAAAGTTACAACCAACATCACAGAAATATAAAGGATCAGAAGAGACTACTACAATCAATTATACATCAATGAAATAGACATCCTGGAAGAAACTGACAAATTCTTAGAAGAGGACAATCTGCCAAGACTGAAGCAGGGAGGAACAGAAAATATGAAGACTTGTTACCAGTATTCAAACTAAATCAGTACTTTTAAAACTCCCAACAAACAAAGTTCAGGAACAGATGGCTTCACAGGTGAATTCTATCAAACATTTAGAGAAGAGTCAACACCCATCCTTCTGAAACTATTCCAAAAATCTACAGAAGGAACACTCCCAAACTCATTCTATGAGACCACCATCACCCTGATACCAAAACCAGACAAGGAGATCACAAAAAAAGAAAACTACAGGCCAATACCACTGATGAATATAGATGCAAAATTCCTCTAAAGGGGGCTCTTCTGACAATTCGGTGGTTACGAATTGTGGTTATGCCCCCGTGCAGGGGGCGGGCTCAGTCCGTGGGCAGGGAACCAACATCCTACACGCTGCGCTGTGCCTAGTCCCCCAGGGGTCCGACTCTCGCGGCCCGTGGACTGCAGCCCGCCAGGCTCCTCTGTCCAGGGGATGCTCCAGGCAAGAACACTGGCGTGGGTGGCCATGCCCTCCTCCAGGGGATCTTCCCAACCCAGGAATCGAACCCAGGTCTCCCACATCACAGGCAGATTCTTTACCATCTGAGCCACCAGGGAAGCCCAAGATCCTACACGCCATGGAGCAACTGAGCCCAAACGCCACACCTAGAGAGTCCCAGTGCCGCAGCAAAAGATCCCACACGACACGTCAAAGATCCCACTGGCCAAAACTAAGACCCAACAGAACCAAGGAAATAAACAAAAATCCTCAATAAAATACTAGCAAACAATGCAACAATATGTTAAAAAGATCATACACCATCCTCAATTAGAATTTATCCCAGGAATGCAAGGGTTTTTCAATATCTGCAAATCAATGTGCATGTGTGCCTGCTAAGTCGTTTCAGTCATGTCCAATTCTTTGCAACCCTATGCACCATAACCCACCAGGCTCCTCTGTCCATGGTATTCAATATCCACTTATGATAAAAATCTCTAGAAAGTGAGCATAGACAGAACCTACCTCAACATAATAAAAAGCAAACATATGACAAACCTACATATGACAAACCTACAGCAAACATCACTCTCAGTGGTAAAAAGCTGAAAGCATTTCCTCTAAGATCAGAAATGAGATGAGGTTATCCAGTCTTGCCACTTTTATTCAACATATTAATAGTTCTGGAAGTCCTAGCCACTGCAATAAGAGAAGAAAGGGAAATAAAAGGAACCCAAACTAGAAAGGAAGAAAAAAAAAACTGTCACCAGTTACAGTATGCTATACACAGAAAATCCTAAAGTTGCCACCAGAAAAATACTAACTCTCATCAATGAATTCAGTAAAGTTGCAGGATACAAAATTAATACAGAGAAACCTGTTGCATTTCTATGCATTAACATTAAATATCAGAAAGAAAAATTAAGAAAACATTTAAATGTTTAAATCTCACTTAAAGACCACACAAACAGATGGAAAGATATACTTGTCTTAGACTGGAAGAATCAAAATTGTTAAAATGACTATACTACCCAAGCAATCTACAGATTCAATGCAATTCCTATCAAATTACCAGTGGTATTTTTCAGAGAATGGGAACAAAAAATTTTTTGATCTGTATGGAAACACAAAGGCCTCAAAGAGCCAAATCAATCTTGAGAAAGGAGAACGGTGCTGGAGGAATCACACTCCCTGACTTCAGACTATACTATAAAGCTACTGTAATCAAAACAGTATGGTACTGGCACAAGACATACAGTTCAATGGAATTGGATAGAAATCCCAGAAATAAACTCACTCACTTACGGTCAATTAATCTATGACAAAGGAGACAAGAATATAAAATAAGAGAAAAGACGGTCTCCTCAATAAGAGGTGCTGGGAAAACTAGACAGTCACATGTAAAAGAATGAAATTAGAACATTATCTAATACCATATACAAAACTGAACTTAAAATGGATTAAAGACTGAAATGTAAGACTGGATACTATAAAACTGCTAGAGAAAAAACACAGGCAGAACACTCTTTTACATAAATCACTGCAATATTTTTTTGGACCCATCTCCTAGAGTAATGGAAACAGAAACAAAAATAAACAAATGGGACCTAATTAAACTTTCAGGCTTTTGCACAGCAAAGGAAACCATAAATAAAACTAAAAGGCAACCTACAGAATGGGAGAAAATATTTGCAAAGAATGCCATGGACAGGGGCTTACTGTCCAAAATATACAAACAGCTCATACAACCCAAAAACAACAACAAAAACAGCCCAATCAAAAAATAGGCAGAAGACTTAAGAAATCATTTCTCCAAAGAAATCATACAGATGGCCAACAGGCACATGAAAAGATGTTCAACATCACTAACTGTTAGAGAAATGCAAATCAAAACCACAATGAGGTATCACCTCACACAGGTCAGAATGGCATCATCAAAAAGTCTGAAAATAATACATGTTGGAGAGAGTATGGAGAAAGGAGAACCCTTTCACACTGTTGGTGAGAATGTAAATTGGTGCAGCCACTATGGAGAACAAAGTAGAATTACCATATGAACCAGAAATACCATTTCAGGGCAGATATCAGGAGAAAACCCTAACCCAAAAAGATACATTCTCCCCAGTGTTCCTAACAGCACTATTTACAGTAGCCAAGACATGGGAACAACCTGAATGTACACTGACAGATAGACAGATAAAGACGATGTGGTACACATACACAACGGAATGTTTATTCTCACATAGAAAATGAATGAAATCATGCCATATGCAACAACATGGACGAACACAGAGATTATCATACTAACTGAAGTCAGTCAGACAGAGAAAGACAAATAACACATGATATCACTTTTATGTGGAATCTAAAAAATGATACAAAACAGAAATAAACACACAGACATAGAAAACAAACTATGGCAACCAAACTGGAAAGGGGGAGGGGTAAAATAGGAGTTTTCGATTAACAGATACAGACTATTATTTATAAAGTAGATAAAATGACAGGGATCTACCGTGTAGCACAGAGAGCTATGTTCAATATCTTATAATAATCTATAATGGAAAAAATCTGGACAAAGAATGTGTGTGTGTGTGTGTGTGTGTGTGTGTACACCTGGGTGTATGTGTACAACTGAGTCAATTTACAGTTCGATATCAACTATACTTCAATAAAAAAATAAAAATGCAAACATAGAAGAAGGCCTGGATTCGAAATGTTTCAACCTGCTTTTGAGTCCTGACTCTGCTGGTAGCCTTGGAAGGTATACATAATCTTGCTGTTTTTCATTTGCAAAACGGGCATGGCCATACCCACCTCCATTGTTTAGAAATGGTGTGATACACATGAAAACTCTTTACATCTGTGAACTGCTCTTCAAATGTTATTATTAGTGCACATATAGCAGCCACATTTCATCTTGCCTAAATAATGCCAACTATCAAGGGACTGCTTTGTATTAATTTCATTATGAAGTGCGTTTTTTCTGACTTGGGCTAGAAATTACACCTTTTTTCATATAGTATATAACATAAAAACATTGAATCAGCATGTTGTATAATACCTACAACTAATGTAATATTATAACTCAACTATCCTTCAGTAAAGCAAAAAAGAAAAAATAAATAACATACAAGGAAGCTTGTAAAATAAACTTCTAATTCTGGCACCAGTGGCTTGAAGAATAAAGTTTTCACATGATCCCTCGGGTTCCAGTAAACAGACTAGGAAGTCAGGGGAGGAACTCCTTTATCTTTATTCCCATTACTGTTCAAGAAATCACAAATGTACAAAAGCTAAAATTTATATAGGTATTTTATATTTCTCCCAAAGAGTCTAAATGACATCAATATGCATATTCTTGATAGAAATACAGTCACTGCTCAAAGTTAATTTTCATAATAGAACCTCTAACTTGCTGACAGAAAGAACCACCAGACCACTCACAAATGTCTTTTCTACCCACTCATGACAGGGAAGTGAAATAAATGACTGACATCCTGATGTCCTTTCAAGTGGCCCCACTAAACCGAAAGCATAGTCCCAGCCAGAACAAGAATCATTTTAAGAAGTGTTCTAAACACAATATTCCTTTCAGAAAATATGCTGGCCCCAAGCCCTCAGCACAGACACCTTCTATAAGGCGGCCTGCCTTAACCCCTAGAATCTCAGTACTGACTGAATCATGATACACTGCATTTGCAAAATCAAAGTAAATTAAATACCCACATAGCCAACTCTCTTTTCTACACTATAAGACAAAAAGCACAAGTGGAATAAGTGAGGCATTGACCTCTGGCTTGAACACAAATGGCATTATCCTACCACACATTACTTAAAAATGCAAAGCACAGCCTCAAGTTAATTTGTCACTTGGAGATATCACTGGGCTTTTATGATGAGAATTCATTTGTGAGAAGCTCTTAGCACCGTTTTCCCCTTAACCTTTTCCATTTATCTTACATTTGCTACTCTTCCACAGGAAACTTTTATGTGCAATTTTAAGGCTGCATAATGTAAGTTACAAGGGCACTAGTCTTTGAAACCCAAAGAACAATCTAATGAAAATGAGGTGATGCTACAAGCTGACAATGACTTGCCCTCTCTTGATCCAACATGCTGAAAAATATGATCGGGTAGGATTCTCTGTGATACTCGTGGAGGAGAAAAGAAGAGGGGCTGGGGTCAGCATTTATTTGACTGTGAGGTGGGGAGATTATATCCATAAAATTTCATTTCAAAATTGCTAAAATGAGCAGCAGCCAAAAACAAAATCAAGTTTTAACATGATCCATTCCCTTCGGAGAGGAATGAGGATGTTGGGTGCAAGGTGAACAATCGGCCCTTTATCCATAATGAACTTCTGAGATTTCTCCAGGCATCATCCAAGTGTATTTAGAAGCGGAGGGGAGGGGGGTCCAACGCCTTCAGATGACAGTAAACCGAGCGATGACAGTTTCATGCTCTTCTCTCATCCTCAGTGTCACTGATGTAAATAGTGATAACACCCCTCTTGCTCTGTATGCCTCACAGGATCGACTTTTTTAAACACACGATCCCTGAAACCACTGGACCAAGAGAACCAGCGTTCCTCCACTTACGTACACAGCACACCTGAGGAGCCTGCAGAGCAGGCTGAAGTGTGACTGCCAACCCCACAGGTCTTCCACCTCAGTTGGCTACAAATCTTAAAAGGATTTCTTAAAACTTTTATTCAAAAACAGCTAGAGCAAGTTGGGGTTTTTTTGGGGGGTGGGGGAGGGGGCGGTGGGAAACCTCACAGATCCTTTCCAGTCTGATGGAAACAATGGACCCTCCTCCCACCAAAAGGCATTTTCCCTGGTGGCTCAGATGGTAAAGAATCTGCCTGCAATGCAGGAGACCTGGGTTCTATCCCTGGGTCAGGAAGTTCCTCGGAGGAAAGCGTGACAACCCCCTCCAGTATTCTTGCCTGGAGAATCCCATGGACACAGGAGCCTGGTGGGCTATAGTCCATGGGTCGCAGAGGGGAAGACATGATTCAGCAACCAACACACACACCTACGCACAAGCCAAGCTTATCTGTCTGATACCAGGGCCAGATCCTGGATCTCAGAGTAGGAATTCTCAACTACAGGGTGTTGAACCGTGGCCTGATTAATCAGACACACAAGAGAAAAGGAGCAAGCTTATACTGCTAGCGTGGGTGAGGGGATCCTGGCTACAGCAGGGCCGCGCTGGGGAAAGCCTCCATCAGACCCTCGCTGGAGACAGGAAGGCGGAGGAGCTGTGGTTTGGAGTTACCTTAGCAGCATTCTGACAAACGAGGCCCTGGCTGGTCAAGCAGAAAATCACTTCCTTTCACAAACAAGCAAGTGTCCAACTAACACCTGAAAATCATGTTTATATACATCCACTAGTGGCCTCAGAATTTCCACATAAAAGAGACCAAGGCGGGTGGTAACATAGTGGGAAGTCAGAGCTAGGGTGTTTGTTATAGGACTTCACGAAGACTGAGAAAACATCAAATTTCCATAGCAAAGCAAGAAGAATTTACAAGAACAGGAAGCTTGGGGGAGAAGCAGTGTTACAACACCCCAAGCCAATCTTTGCCACCATCACGGTGTTCTCCAACACCAGTGGTTCTCAAACATCAACGTGCTGCAGAATCACCCCCAAAAAGTGTTAGTCACTCAGTCATGTCCAACTCTTTGCGTCCCTATGGACTGCAGCCCGCCAGGCTCCTCCGTCCATGGGATTCTCCAGGCAAGAATACTAGAGTGGGTTGCCATTCCTTTCTCCAAGGGAGCTTCCTGATCCAGGGATTGAAGCCAGGTCTCCTGCATTGCAGGTGGATTCTTTACCCTCTGAGCCACCAGGGAAGCCCAGAACCACCCAAAAGGTTTGTTATTTTTCTGGGCTCTGGGATCTACCCTCAGAGTTCCTGATTCAGCAGATCTGGGTAGAAACCAAGAATTGCATTCTAACAGGTTTTAGGGGCGGCTGGTCAGAGGGCCCTGCTTTGTTCTATATAGGATGGCTCGGCAGGTAAAGAATCTGCCTGCAAAGCAGGAGACACAGGAGACATGGCTTCAATCCCTGGGTTGGGAAGATCCCCTGGAGAAGGAAATGGCAACCCACTCCAGTACTCTTGCCTGAAAAGTCCCATGGACAGAGGAGCCTGGTGGGCTACAGTCAGTCCAAAGGGTTGCAATGTGCCGGACGTGACTTAGTGACTAAGCAGCATGAAGGACATCCCAGCTTCTTAAGCATACGCATAGTCTCACCTGGATGCCATACTTGCCATAAATTCAAAGCAAACAATAAAGTGCCACTCGCCCCCAGGCCAGCTTCTGGCCTGTGTTCCCTGATGGTGCGCACTGGCTGAGCTGCGGCTCACAGCATGCGACAGCCTCCTTGACGGCTGCTGAGCGTCCAAAGGCAACTCACACCACGGCAAGTGCAAAGGAAGAGCTTTGAGCTGTGTGGTTTTAAAACCTTGCCCTCAGGAAGCAATAAGCTGTAAATTGGTGCCAGGAAGATTCACTTAAGAAGTAGCAAAATGCCCACTGCTCCAGAGCTGTGGTTCTCAGACCAAGCCCCACAGAGGCCCAGATGGCACAGTGCGGTACCTCCAGGGCGAGGGCGGGGAGGCGGCAGAGAAATGTCAGCAGCTCTGGGCTTCCCATTTCCATCCCCCCTGGAACTAGAAAGTCAGCTTTTCCCTCATTTACAGATAGGTCTAAATTAGAGCTTTTACTGTCCCTTTGGAGGAAGGACAAGTTTAAAGTCCACCAGAGTTAATTACCTCTAAGAGTCCCTCCATTTCTGGGATTCTATTATATCACAACAAAAAGTAACTGACTGGCACATTACAGAAATAAAAACATCAAACCAGCCCAGGAGGCTGACAAAAAGCTAAAAAAAGCATCCAAATGAGTACTTAGCAGTCAGACCACATTTATGTCTGCTCTGAAGGTCCGATGTTATACAGGGGAGCTTCCAACCTCCCTGAAGGCAGGAACTGAACCTCTGTAAACGGAATATAAAAAACACACAAACTCCAGCGGTGACGACCACAACTTAAACTTGCCCCGTCAAGCAGACACCTTGCAGAAACCAGGGTCTTTTCAGTAAGTGCCGTGGCGCTGCCGTGAGAGCCAGAGCAAGAAGTCACACGCTCAGGACTGTCACCAGCAAGTCCACCTACTACACTGGCTAAGCTTGGGACACATGCTGTAAGCTTCTAGGCAAGCTGTTCATAAGGTACAAGAATCATAACCACAGCCCACAACTGGACCACAGCCAGGAAGACAGAAAGAAGCATGGGAAGAAGGAGTAGGAAAGGTGGTTTGGGGGCGAAGGAGATATCTTTTATCTATTATGCTTCAATTTGCAGTATTAGTGAAAGTGTTAGTCGCTCAGTAGTGTCCACCTCTTTGTGACCCCATAGACTGTAGCCCACCAGGCTCCTCTGTCCATGAGATTTCCTAGGCAAGAATACTGGAGTGGGATGCCATTCCCTTCTCCAGGGAATCTTCCCAACCCAGGAATGGAATCCGAACTTGTAAATCACCCATAATTCCAGGGTTTCAAAACCACCTTCGAGGGGCAAATGAGGAAATGGAACCTTGCAATTGGGAAGGTCATCTACTCCTGGGATACCAGAACCGCCTGCAATGACTAGGGTGCCCTGTCAGGGACTGGAAGATATGGGTTTGGTATTTTATTAGGCATTAAGAGCATTTTCAAAACCATCAGGATCTCATACATACACACCACTTTCCTACTTTCAGCCAATCAGGGGGTGGGGAAGGCATCAGGCAGAGGTGTTAGTTATTCATTATTTCCTTAAACAAGAAACACTTTTGAGCTCCTTTGGCAATAATGAATGACACACAGTCCCAAATCTCAAGGATCCCGCAGTAGCCCTGCAAGCCCTTCCCTCAGCCAACCAACACTGTTAAGTCACACCTAATGGTACCAGGAGCTGGCTTAGAGCTCAAAGTCAAGCTCAAGGCAGCAATTACAAACGTCAAAACCACCCTCGAAAATTCCCTAAAATTCCTGATAACATACTACACTGCTGTTTCTCCCTAAGTCCAAGATGACCAGATTTCCTGCCCTCTGGGAAAGACTATTCAGTCTTCAGGTCAACCCAGATAATGTGACAGGCTTGTATTTTGTGAGCTGTGCTGTTAAACCCAAGCACTCACAATCTTCTAGGAAATGAAATCTCCCTACAAACTACAGGCTCGTCTCCCCTATCTCATGTTTGCCCTAGGACTACGCCCATCGTATTTCAATTGTCATTTCTTACCCTTTTTGTTCCTTTTGTTCAAATTTATTTCCCATAAGTAAAATATGCATATAGTATGACTCCACTGTAATATCACCATCTTAATACTTTCCCAAAGACTTGCCCCAAATGCCACATTTCTTTGAGTCAGCATACTGAGAATCCTTTTGAATTCACACATGTAGCAGGGAATGAGTTATGTATGAACCCTACACAGGTGAATGAATTCAATTAGCTCCAGTTATCTGGAGAGTGTAGAGAAATGAGAAAGTGAACCTAACGCTTGGTAGATGGTAAGAAAACCAGGAAAGGTCCAGACTATGAAAGACATTTCCAGTAAACGGGGCTCTGCTGGGGAACAAGGTGAAGCCGTGATGCTCCCCAGGAAGCACTGGGGGGGCGTGAGGGGGAGTCTGCCCTCGGCACACTGCAAAGTAACCCCCCTCCCGAGCCCATTAGGCAACGGGTGACTCAAGGGAAAGAGACGGCACTGGGAAGGCTGCTCTGGTCTGACTCCGCCAGACAGCCCACCCAACCAATTACACTCCTTTCAAGGTCACACACACCGCTCTGGCTCCAAACACACCCCCGGAAAGGAATGCAGTCCCCACATCTCTGTTCCCACAGGGTCAAGAGAACGAGGGTCCCCCCAGCACACCTCAGACTCTGCCGGGCAGCATCAACAAAGTCAGCCTCAGCGAGTGCGGAAACCTGGCTCTCTCCTCCCAGAGGGGGCAGGTACATCAATCCCGCCAGTGACTGTGCCTGCTCAGGAAAAAGGACTTTGTCCTGCCTCCTCCTAAGCATCTCTCCACCTGACTTTCTTTGAAGACTTCCTTCCTCTCTTCGTCACTGTGTTGCCCTTGAACAGGGCCCATATCTAACCAGGGTTTCCCCTCCTTCCTGTGATCATGATTTTCAGGTTTTAGGGCGGACATCCTTCTCTCTTAGGTCGCCTCCAGATGAATGCTCATCAGATGAAGGCTGCCTGATCTTTAGCCTCCAGCTCCCTCGAACAACAGGTGGTACACTTAAATGCAAAGACACAGGAAAGAAAACTGTTACACTAGCCAACATCACAGACACTTATGCCCCACTCCGTTCTTCTGGATACAAGTGCTCCACACCAGCCTTGAACTGTTCAGGTCTGCATTCCCCGCTTCAGTGAGCTCCTGATCCACTCAGAACTTCCAAGTGCCCCTCAGTCCACACTTGTCACCATCTCACATTCTTTCAGCTGACTTTGGAAATGAAAAATTTTAAGGAGGCAATTAAAAAAGACTAGTAAACCAGTTCTTGACAGGACTAGACTTAACAGTAATGAGATAAAGTGACAAGTACATGGCCTGCTGCCAAGGAATCACGAACAGTTTAAGAGTTAGATTCAAAACAACTGATAGAATCTGAAAAGCAGTGACATCCATATATTTTATGTTTTGCTTGGTTTGCACAATGCACAAGATATGAAACTCAAAATATTAAGATACTAGTTGAAGGAGAAACTTCTGAGATTTAGGAAGAGGTACTGAAGGAGGTTACTAGAACAGAACACTTACTAACTAGATGTAACTATTTTTATCTACAGTGAATATGAAATAGATAATGTACCACTTTCCTAAATTTTATGCCCAGAAACACTTCAATTTGTTTTCTATCTTGCAGTATAAAATGATCATTTCTTTGCTAAAAATTCTTACCTCCCTCACACAAATATTTATACCTAATAATGATGATAATTTAACATGGGACCTATAAAAACAACTCAATTTAAAACATTAAAATCTTAAGCACATTTAAAAAACAGTATATGAGAATTCATATTTTCATACTAATGTATCCTCTAACACCAAAATGAAATGTCATTTTTCACTGGATGTCCACAATTTCAATAAGAAATGTCTTCCTATGAACTCTTATGACATGACACTCTTAAAACATGAAAAAGCATTCAAAATAAGTGACACAAGTGACACAAGATTCCCTTTATATTTTGTTTGTTCCATAAAACTAAAAGCATTGCCAAATAATATAGAAAAACATAAAAGCTGAATCTCAGGTGTATGCAAAAGTCCTTCCCTCCTGCCCACACACCACTACCAACAACAAGTTATCGTTTGGGTAACTCTACAACAAGGATATTAATACTTTAAGCCATTCTTGCTTCAGCCACTGTTCTGGTTTCCTGCTTCAGAATCCACTGTTGCAAACCCAACTCTAGAGATAAATAACGGAGATTAATACAGTATTACCTTGAACAAGCAATTAAAAGAGGCTGAAAAGCAGCAACTAAACCCCAAACCATTTGCTCTTTCACAATAGGAAGCTGAAGGTAATCTTATTTACTAAACATAAATCACTTGAGATTTGGCCAAACTCTTCAATGATGTTCCAGATGGAAACACTGCAAAGCCAGAAGTTGCTTACATTAAGGATTTTCTTCCAACTCTAAAAACAAACTGGACCAGTTTTTCTTGTTGCTTCTAGGAACACAATCATTTTAAACCAAACAATTCAAGAGAAGGGCTTTCCTAAGACCTGCTTGTGCTCTATTTTGGTCCCACCCCTGCCCTCCTTCTTCTAGCAGTATTAAGTTTCCTGACACTGAGTTCGCTTCCTCCTCCTTCAGTATCTAGCTAAAAGTCCTAGGCTACAGAAAGCAAACTCCATTAAATCTGTCTTTAATGTATTTTTGTAGTTTATTCACACTGTTTGGGAAAAAATGTGAAGATACAGCCCTTTAATTTTTCTGTGTGTGTGTGAGAGAGAGAGAGCACTTTTTGCTCACCTCTCTGAGGGCTCTGTGAGGTTATGCAGACAGGCCTCTCACAGAGGCTGCTGTGTTTCCCAGGGTCCAGGTTCACGGGCCTCCGGGCAGGAAGAGGTGGGCTCGACGCCTCACTTCCTTGAGTTAAAGGCGCTTGGACAGAGAGGCTTTGACAGCTACAATGAGCAACACGATTCAGGGACTTGTTTGTTAAAAGGTGCTGTGTTAACACACCTTCAGTTTTTGGTGAACTCAACAACCAAAGGTTTGTGAGGATACTTTCTTCCCACTAAATGCCACGGGAAATGCCAGTGGTCCGACACAGATCTGCTTGGCCCCAGAAAAACCACTCTGAGGTGTCAGTACTTGCTGCTAAGACGTTAGACAAGAAAGAGGGGATCTGTGTATGTGCATAACTGACTCACTTCACTGCACAGTAAGAAACTAATACCACACTGTAAACCAACTATACTCCAATAAAAATTAGTTTTTTTTTAATTTTAATTTAAAAAAAAAAGTGTGAGAAGTCAGTCCCTTCTACCTGATAAAAACCTCACTTAGTTTTAAAGTGCATTGTGGAACTTCCCTGGAGGTTCAGAGGTTAAGACTCCGAACTTCCACTGCAGAGGGCATGTGTTCAATCCCTGGTCAGGGAACTAAGATTCCCACATGTGCGTGGCAGGATAAAGAAAAAATAGAATTAGAAAATTTTAAATAACATTTTAAAAAAACAGTGTATTGTGACAGAAGGCCCTAGATTAAATTTCAACCCATACATTTTAGTTCTTTATTCCACAGCTCTAGCTATTCCCTCACTCACAGTGAGGAAGCCAAGAGTATAAAGAATCACAAAGAGCCAACTCACATCTGCCAAAGCTCCTACGAAACACTCAGTCGGTCTTCCCCTCCGACACGCTGCCATGCGCCCCGCACGTTTTCTGTGTCTCACAGGAGCTGTTAATTTCTTGGTTCCCCCACCAAGGCCTCACCTCCCTGGGCGCCTGGGGAAGACTTCCAGAGCCATACGCCCCGCACGTTTTCTGTGTCTCACAGGAGCTGTTAATTTCTTGGTTCCCCCACCAAGGCCTCACCTCCCTGGGCGCCTGGGGAAGACTTCCAGAGCCTGTCCATGCCTGATCCTTTGGTCTCTTCCTCCTCTAAGCCCGAGGACACCGCCCTCTGTCCCAGGCCTGCTGCCTCCTCCAGGACCACAAAGCTAGCCGCCGTCAACCCGCTGAGCAGCTTAGCTGCTGACTGACAACTTTTTTCCTACCCAGTGAATGCAATTCAAAGTTCTGTGGCCTAAAGTCAGAACACAACCCAGAGCTCAAGACCCAAAGTCAGACAAACCTGGTTTTGACTCTGCTGTGTACTATTTCTGTGACATGGGCAAAAAAAACTTCTCTAAGCCTCAGTTTTATCTCTAAGATGGGGATAGTAATAGTATTTACCTTTATGGTAAAGCTAGGATAAGATAATGCATGTGCCCAGCAGGCTGAGCTCTCAAAACATGTTAGCTACTTTTATTATCATTATACTATTACTCTACTACTTTTATTACTACAGGGGTACCTGGCATAACTAGACATAAATGCGTAGTTGAGCTGTGCTAAGTTGATTCTTATCTGAGTCAGACTCATGTCTGACTCTTTGCGACCCTATGGACTATAGCCCGCCAGGTTCCTCTGTCCATCGAGTTTTCCAGGAAAGAACACTGGAGTGGGTTGCCATGTCCTCCTCCAAGGGATCTTCCCAACCCAGGGATCAAACCCATGCCTCTTATGCCTCCTGAATTGGCAACCAGGTTCTTTACCACTAGCACCATCCAGGAAGCCCATAAATGGGTAAGCTTGTAATCAAATTTGGACTTTCTATTTGACTATAATATTCTGTGTTTTTGTTTTACTGCCTTTGGAGATTGTGAGCACCCTCCAGCCTGTCACAGTCCCCACACACCTCCTTAGAATCTTTTCAAGTGAAATACAGTTGATTTACAGTGTTGTGCTAATTTCTACTGTACAACAAAGGGACTGTTTCATATATACACACACACACATATATATAGGTATGCATTCTTTATATTCTTTTCCATTATGGTTTATCCCAGGAGACTACAGTTCCTTGTGATATACAGTAGGATTTTGTTGCTTATCCATTCTAAGTGTAATAGTTCGCATCTGCTAACCCCACACTCACAGTCCATCCTTCTCCCTCCCCGTCTTGGCAACCACAACTCTCTTCATGTCTGGGTCTGCTTCCGTTTTGCAGATAGGTTCATTTGTGCCATGCTTTAGATTTCATGTATAAGTGATAGCATATGATATCTGTCTTTCTGACTTACTTCAATTAGTATGACAATCTCTAGGTCTATCCATGCAGCTGAAAATGACCTCATTTCATTCTTTTTTATGACTGAGTCATATTCCTTGGAATCATATTCTCATTATATAACTGTCTGGTCCCTGAGTTTGTGACACCCTTTACCCGCCCCCCACCCACCCCCGCCAAACAAAAGGTCTCAGAACTACAAGGGATTTTTAAAAATTATAAAGATGCTAGAGAAGAGGACAGCCAGGCGTTACACTAAAAGCAACGCCTTTTTAAAACCCAGCACAAGGAGCCCCCAGTCTCCAGGGAGACCGAGACCTCCCAACCAGTCAAAAGGCACAGACGCGCCAGGGAGTGGGGGGAGGAATAAACTCTACTCTGCAGCATGAAGTCAGTAACAACTCCCAGAACACGCAGTCCCACTGGTAGCACCCAGGTCTGGCCCAAAATGGAGAGAGCAAATATGAAAAAGGCAGAACAGAACATATACTTCAAAAGTTTTGCTCCTCCTTAAGTGTGAAGGCCACACTGCCCAGGAAATTTCTTGTTCCAAAAGTTCCCGTCAGATGTCAAGGTTTTAACCACATCAGTAGCTTTGCACACATTAAAAAATTCAGGTGTTTTCTTACTAACTTCACCCACATAA